GGCCGCTGCGGGAGAGGCCAGGGGAGAGGCGGCGGGGCGCGGTGGGGACCCGGGGGAGGGAGGGCGCGCAACCCCCTCTCCTCGTCCCCGTTTTCGGGACGGGGCGGGGGCGGGTGGGCCAGGCCGCCCACTTTTTGGAGGGACCCGAAGCGGGGCATTTCCCCCGAGCGGGGGCGGTCACGCCTGGACGAGGGGAGCCTGCAGGGCGATCCTGCGGAGGGTGCGCGCGGAGGACGCGCGGCGGGGCTCCCCTGCAGCGGGTAGCCCGGTGCCCTCCGGGGGGTGAGGATTCCAGGCGGTGGCCAGCATCCGCTCCCTCCCCTCCCACGCTCGCCCCGCGGACCTCGCCGCCAGCCCGTCGGAACCCTGATGCTGCAACGGGAAAGTGCGGTAGAGCAATTCAGGACTTTTTTTGGTGGTGGTGGTGGTGGTGTGAGTGGGGTTGGGAAAAACTGCGAGCCGGGCTCTGAAAATTCATCTGACTCTGTCCTGATACCTGAGAGCGGCTGGGTTGCTCGTAGGATTTCTCTGAGAAGCTGCAGTATTAAGGATGCTTTAGATTAAGTGTGACAGAGCTTTAATATTAGCAATGATCTGTTCATATATTTTTCATTAGAAAAATATATTAAAACTTCTTTTATACCACTTCATTTTGTTGATTGGCAGGCGAGATCTCCTAGATTCCCCCAGTCAGCCAGGCTTTGTGTCAAGTGACTTATTACCAAACTCAATCTTCTCTTTTAACCCAGCTCGTGTCTCCCGATTTAAGAATCTGGATCTGTTTTGAGTAATATCTGCTGGCCTCTTTTAGGATCCTTTTGGATAATGAACTCCCATCCCCACCTGCAAACGGAAACAGCTGTCTGATGCTGCAGTATTTCCTAGCAGACTGGGGTGGATGCCCTCTCAATAACTTCGTGACCTTGGGCCTTCTCTTCTCTTAACCCAGACATCTGTGGAAGATGGCGCTTGAGATTCAAGCCTTTTTCGTTTATTTATTTTAAAGTTTATTTTGACATTTACTTCGTGGGATCAGATGTAGAAATCTGCTCTGTGAATTGGCCAAGTTTGTTTTTCCTCTTTGTCTGTAACTACACATGGAATATTCTGTTTTCCCCGAGAAGACACTAAAATATGTGGGATTCTAGTCCTAGAGCTGTGAATGAACCCAGGTAATGATTCACTGTAAAGTTGATCTCTGAAAGATAATCTTTACCATCTTAAATGAAATTCTCCTCCTTGGGATATGCAGGGAGCCACCAGAGAACAAATCTTTTCTGTTCATATAACCGTGAGACAGGTTAGTTATCCTAGTTGGCGTCTTATGCCAACAAGGGCAAACGAGATTCTGAGAATGGCCAGAAAGCTCTGCATGGAAACCTGGAGCAGTATCCAGGCCACATCCTGCATCAGGAGTTGTGTCTCTCAATCTAACAGGCACTGGGGTCCTATGCAATCCACTGCATGGGCACCCTCTCTTTAAAAAGGCTAAGAACAGTTATCCACATTAAAAAAAAATCATAGGAAGGATTTGTAACATTTCCTTTCAAATGGAGCTAGGTTACTTCATTAACATTTTTATTTATTAATGAAATGCCTGTCAGATTTAGGGATAGGCGGGAGGGGCACTGTTGCTAAAACAGAGTGATGATAAGGTAATTTGGAAATGGTAATGTCAGAAAATGGGAAAATCTGATTCTCCTTACAGATATTTAGTTGACCTTTTTTTTTTTTTTTTTTTTGCTGAGGTGCACATCCCTTGCTACATAAAAGGAGGTATAGTTATATTGAAAAAACCACTCCAAGTGCACGCCTTCTTGTTGAGCAGCCTGTTTTGTTTATGAAGGACAGTTCACGGAAGAGCATGTTGTTGTCTCCTCTAGCTTGCACTTTGCTAAAAATTGCTTTTTGTTCAGGGAAGCACCAGATAGAGAGTGCAGACTGTAAAACATTAAGGAGGGAACATGAAGAGTAGGGACTTATTGAATCACCTCTTTGATGGATCTGCCCTAGTCTTTGAGAAGTCATTCCCCAAACATGTCCTTGCTAGAGTCCAGCTGGCTAGCTTTGGGATTTGGTCATTGTTGTTTTGAAATTTTTCTGTCAGCTGGTGGTAGGACTTTAGTTTCAGAAAGGAAATAGTAAGATGAAGAAAAATAAACCACAGGGCAAAGGTATTTGAATATTTTTTGGTTGTGAACTTTGACATCAGCATCAAATATGCTATTGACCAAGTTGCGAACTTGTGGTCCCGAACCCAAGTGGCATGAAATAAATGCATTAAGTAGATGTCCCGGGGGGGCCCCCCCAGATGACTCAGTTCGTCACTGAGTGACTTTTGGTTTCGGCTCAGGTCATGATCTCAGGGTCCTGGGATTGAGCCCCGCATTGGGCTCCATGCTCAGTGTGGGGTCTGCTTATCCCTCTCCCTCTGCTCCTCCCCCTACTCCCCCCCACCATAAATAAACACAAAATCTTAAAAAAAAATAGATGTTGTTTCTGTCCTCCAGGTACTTTACAATGCCCAACTCCTGAAATATCCCAGGATCATAAAATTCAATAGTTATACTTAAGCTTTTCAGCAATCAACCAGTCCACCCATCCAGCCAGCCATAGATACATAAATAACAAAGTACAGAGAGAAGGTGGGAAGGGTGCTGAACTTGGAGCCTGGAGAGTGAGGCTCAAGCTTGACTTTGGCTTTATGCTGGTTGCGTTGCTATGGGCATTTCATTTCACATTTCTGAGTTACAGAGTGAAAACACTGTGTAAACTGTAATTATTATAGAATAGTGGAATATTACCATGTCGAAGGTGAAATGGCTTTCACTGATCATTTTTCTACAAGAACATGGCAAATCTACTTCCAAAGGGTGCATTAGCACATTATAATAATACCCTTAAACCTGAAATCTCCATTATAAGTCCTGTTTTACTCTGTAAGTAATGCAGGTAAAACAAGATAATTGCCCTCTCCCTGAGCTATCTGAACAACTGCCTTTCTTGGCTTTTGTCTAGAGAAATTGGTTAATATGACAAACTGATATTTAGTAGTGTGCTTGAGTAAATTTGATTCTGTATGTCCAAGAGGTGGAAAAACTGATGTGCAGTAAAATGATCAAACAGCCATAGAAATCAGCCTCTAGATCACTCAGGCTCTAAATAATTCCAGTTAGATTTCTCCTAAAGATTTCTAATGGTAAGCTTGAACCCAGTCCACCTCTCCATGCAGAGCACTGCACTTCACTAGGAACTTGTAAGGCAAGGCTGGGGCATCCAGCAGTGGGTGGTTGAACGAAATCAAACTTTCATGCTCTTGAGAAGCTGATAGTCTAGGTAGGAAGATTAACCATTGGAGAACAATAGCAAGGCAAAGTATGATAGAATACATGTGGAACATCCAAGTGCCCAGGAGATGTTGAATAATATAGTTTAATCACAGGTGGCTTCGGGGAGGAGTTGAGCTGTCGGTCCAGATGGGGTCATGAGAACAATTTCATTTGCACGAGAGCTTTCTCCATTTTCGTGTTTTAGTAAGGTCACTCTCTCAACATAGGAATTTGATTTCCCCAACCTAGAACTGTATTAGGAGGACTTCTTCTATTTTCCATTCAGTGAAGATTTACTGTATTTGTCCTGCATAGAGTCTAGCCCCTAAACTATAGAGAAACATCTGGATTAAATAATCCATTTTAAAAGTGTTGCATTTTCTATAAGGCAGGGAGCTCTTGATCTGTTTCTCTCTGCTCTCCAGCCCCACCTCTCTCTCTCAGCAGATTCTCTGTCCCCTCGTTTTTCCTTGAATATGGTTTTTTAGGCAGAGAAATGAGCAGCCCTGCGGTTGAGCTAATGATCTGAACAGGTCGGCCATTCCCTTTTATACACTTATACATATAGATGGGTAAGCAAGTCTGTAATGTAAGCCAGGCAATCTCTTTTCAGGTAAACCAGAAAATCCCTTAAAATGTTTGGATGGTTCCAAATATTTACAATAGCCTATGTCAATACAGGCTAAGGCTGTAGAAATTCTTTGCTGCAGAGGACTTATTTCAGATGTATTCTGCTCATGAGAGCTGACTGAATTTTTTAGTTGTAGTTTTTCTATCAGAGATTTGTAACTGGCAACTGTCTGATCATAACTCCATGGCAGTTTATTGTCAGAATGTTTCTGTAATGGTTCTTCTGCTATTTATATAACAATAGTCTGAAGAGGAGGAGTTTAATATTTATCCTATTTTGTCAGTGTACCCAGGGAGTTAATACAATCCTTTTGGGTCCAATTATTTAGATTAGTTTTCTCTTCATCCTCAATTGGCTAGATAATTGCATTCTCTTCTCTTGATGTAGCTCTGTGGTCCAGCCTTAATTTACATCTCTAAATGGTTTGGTAGGACTAAGATGTTGCCACTGTGCTTAGCATGAGCCCAGGCCGTATCGGGGACATAATATAAAATTTTGTTGATAGCATCCAAGAAGTCACTTATGTCTCCTGCTATTTCCCTGCCGCCACCCCCAGACCCCAGCCCCACCGTCCTTCTTTCAGTTCCCTGAACATGCTGAACTGACCCTTGTTGTTTTCTCTCTGTTTGAAACTCTCTTTGCTGGAGAGCTGATATTTTGTTTATTTATACATCGCCTCTTCTGTTCCCTTCCTGCAAATGTAGGCCTCATGAGAGCCTCCTGCATCTTGTTCAGCTGTACCCTCAGCCTCTAGACTAGGATCCAAACTTTCAATGGAATTTTTGGCTCGCAAAGAAGTTTTTTTGTTGTTATTATTGAACATACTGGGGAAACAAAGAAGATGCAAAATGATGTCCTAAATTGTGTGCTTGATACAGCAATTGAGAGAATAAAATAAAACCTCAGGCAGTCAGGGCAGCCTGCTTGGAAGAAGTGGCACTTGATTTGGTTCTGAAGAATAGGTCATGTTTGGATAAGCATATAATGGAAGGGAGGGCATTCTTAGTGCTGTATGAAATCATAGGGACAGAAATTGGCTCCATGCATTTCAGGGCAGTAAGTCTGGCCTGACTGGCTTTAGTAGTTCACGTGTGTTATAGGGTGTTGGAGAGGAAGAGTGGGTAGAATGGAGGGTGAGGAGGACAGACAGGCAGGAAAGCCAAGCCTCGGAGTTGAGGGTGGGCTCTGGTGTCAAAAGACCCAAATTCGAATCCATCTTTTATCATTTATCAGCTGCATGACCTTGGGCTAACTTGCTTAAACTGTACCTTGGTTTTCTCAACTGTAAAATGGGGGAGTAAGAATAGAACCGACTGCAACATGAAATGAGTTAATGTTAGTAAAGTGCTTAGAACAGTGCCTCGTACATTGTGAGTACTCACTATGCTATTTATTATGAATATAGGGACAGACTTTTGTAACTGGTGTAGAAGGAAAGAGTGGGCATACAGCAGTGGCTGTCTGGGGTCAGGGCAGTGAGAAGGGTCTGGAGGCATTGATGCCAGAGACCCCTGGGAGAGCCAGGCTGAGGATGGGCTGAATGGGAGGGAGAAATAAACATGAACCCAAACTAATGCCTGGGTAACTGGAAGGTTCTGCTGCCTCTAAAGGGAAGGCAGGAAGAGGTAGGTGACCAGTACACTCTTGGAGGTTCCATGTTGGAAGTGACGGTGAATGATGGGAGATGGAAATACCTCTGTCCAGGCACTTATCACCTATGTGATGGAATCGGGACGTTCATGCGTCCCAGCTCCCTGGAACTGACCTCACGGCCACGTGCAGGGGTCGTGAAGGTGACCTCAGTGAAGTAGTCAGTTCAGCCACAAGCCACTTACCGCTCAGTGTAGACATGGCTTAAATTATAATACAATAGCCAGATGTCACTGCCTTATCTATGTCTGTCCTTATGTGGCTGCCTTTATTAATTTTTAGCTCCCTAAAGTGTAGATGCTCAACAAGGACAACCTGCAAATGAAGAGATTTTCTGCAAGAGCTTCCATATTCATGAACAGAATTTTATATTTCTAGGACATATTGACCTGATTTTTTTTCTCCTTTATTGAAAAAAATGACTTATGAATCTAGTTCTTTTATTGGTTTCTTGAAAAATAACATTGCTTTGGATGAACTGAGAGCTGTTTTTCTACTTCTTTTGGCCAAACTGAGACTATGATGTAGTTTTGGAACTATTATGGGTCAGAGAAGACATCACGAGCTGTCAGAATTAAAGAGAATTTTGTTTATTTTTCTGCAGTTATGTTTATACAGTTCTCTCTCTTTTTTTTTTTAAAGATTTTATTTATTTATTTGACAGAGAGAGACAGCGAGAGAGGGAACACAAGCAGGGGGAGTGGGAGAGGGAGAAGCAGGCCTCCCGCAGAGCAGGGAGCCCGATGCGGGGCTCGATCCCAGGACCCTGGAACCATGACCTGAGCCGAAGGCAGATGCTTAACGACTGAGCCACCCAGGCGCCCCATGGATAAATTGGGTTTGCTATGTATTTTTAAGTGACGGAGACTTTTGACTTTGAGACTCGAACAAAATATTAAAATCTTTTGAAGTGCGTAAAGTAAAACATATACACGGTCATGGTGAAGTGATGTTTTGAACAACCAACAATGTTTAATTGTTTCCTACTTTTCAGAAGGAAATGTTCTTCCTTACAGACCTCTAACCATTTATAATTACTTTTTTTGTCACTGAAACTGCATATAATACTTTTCTGAGAGCAAACCTTCCCCCCTTTTTCTTTTTTAGGAAGATACTTAAAATTATCATTCTTTATATAATCATCAAATCTTTAGTCTTATGTACTTTGTGGTGCTTTCATTCTACAAGAAGCGTTACCTTTCCCCCATCTCTGTGTCTTCTAAGCCATTATGTTAATACATCAAGGCTATGTTTAAACAGTAAAAAGTCATTTTGGCAGGAATGGAGTGGTGCTAACAGGAATCAATGCTCTATCCCAGGGGCCTAGAAAGAATTAGATACCATTATAAATATTTGTTTAGCAAAGGGTAAGTCACACAACCATAAACACAACTTAAAGCAAATGGGATTTTGCCACTATCTGAATTGTTCTAGATAAAGTGTTTTTTTGCATAAATTCTCTAGAGTAGAGATCTCCATCTGGTTAATTACAATCAATATATAGGTGAAGTGTGATTACAAGGTTGTAGTGAGGGTAATAATAATTTTTCTTCTGTTTATTAATTTTATGATTTTATACTTTTGCAGAACAAAGAGATATTCTACCTTTTATATACCTACGTATTCTGATAGTTTTCCAAGGGTTTCTAACAATTACACATTTTTTTTTCCCCTACTCTGAGAAGTTTTATGTTCGGGAGTCATGTTCTACCTGTCCTCGTTATAAGCTGATCATTAATATCATGCTCCCTTGCTTCTAGAAGATGCACATTTTCTTCCCTTTAAAAAAAAACAAAAAAACGGAGCCCATATTACAGTCACGCGTATACTGGATGTAGTTTCTGACATCTTTGCCCACCCCCATTGCGCGTATTAAATAGATGGTACCCTTTAAAGGAGGGACATTTGAGAACAGAAGAAATGGTGTGCTGATTTCCTTTTGGAAGGTAACACCAGGCATCTGCCCAGGGCCCACTGGGATGCTAGGTGGTGATCCCAGCAGGGAAGCAGCTTTGAGGGTGCCTGGAGCCGGGAGCAATCAGGTGAAATGGATGGAGGGTTCCTGGTGGCTGATTAAAATCAGTATTCATTAGACAACATGTTGCTGTTTTGAAACTAGTTCCACACACGTTTTTGTGCTTTGTCTTCTCAGCTGCCTTTACCTGCCCAGTATTAGAAACCGAAGCACTGATTTCGTGACCTTTGGTTGAATGATCTGAGCAAGGACTCTGTGTGGGTCTTTGCCTTCCTGTTCCCTGCTGTTCTTTCTCTGCCACCCTGGGCCCCCCCTGAGATGAAGTGGGATGGCTTCTGTCCCCTCTGCTCTTGCTGTGGATTGTATTCGATGGCCCTTCATCTCTCTGCTGAGGACTCACTGTCCTCATTACGATCTCTGCTTTCTTCTCTCTGTAAGACTTTGCAGAATCAGAGTTTGTAATCCCTCTGGCTCTCCCATCCCCTGTCCACAACAAAACCCCGGAACGTTCTCCGTACTTTTCCCATGAACATGAAAATATGAAAATCAGGATATTACTTTCTTTCTAGACTTTCTTCCAGATTTTCATGCTTGTTTTGACTCTGAAATAAAATATTCATCTGCACAGGTTTTTTGTGTTACTAATCCTTTGCTTATCTTTTCCTATCAAAGTGCTCCTTTGTTCTTATGTTAAGATTTTTTTTTCAATTTTAGGATTTTTGTTTTGTTTTGTTTTATGATCTCAGATTCCAAAGCATTTATTTATTTATTTATTTATTTATTTATTTATTTATTTATTTTAGAGAGAGAGAGAGAGAGCATGAGCAGGAGGGGCAGAGGGAGAGGGAGAGAGAGAATCTCAAGCAGACTCTATGCTGAGCACAGAGCCCGATGTGGGGCTGGATCCCAGGACCCCAAGATCACGACCTGAGCTGAAACCAAGAGTCGGACACTCAACTGGTTGTGCCACCTAGGCGCCCCAAAGCAGTTTTTATTTATATAATTTTAATGATAGTTGTGACATAGAAATGTTAATCTTCCCTAAAGAAAGGAATGAGGTTTGTTACAAAGTTAAGGTTTGGCCAGAGCCTTACAAGAATTTGTTTGAGGCATAGTGTTTATTATCTTTATCCTCTGCTTTGAATTTGCAGATTAACGGATCTTAATATCACCAGGGTACAGTTCTTGCAGTTTTGGCAATAACGTTTCCTGCAGGCTCATTTGCTTACTGTGTAGCACATCTTTCTTTCTTTTCACATCTCTGTGACTTGGGTAGAGGTTATTTTAATTCCCATTTCGTAGATACGGAAATTGAGATATTAATTTCTAATTAAATTTACTGCTAATAATAACAACTTAGTGAGCTATTTTTATGTACCAGACTTCGTGCTAAGTGTTGACATGCATCTTTAAAAAAACAAATCTTCACAGTAATGTCAAATAACAAAAGACAAAACTGCAAGTTGCAAAATTACATATGTGCATTTATTTGGGGTCTTAGGGATTGCAATCCAGGAGACGGGATTCAAACGAAGTTGAAAACGTGCTCTGGAGAGACAAAGGAGGTTAGAGTTTTTTAAGAAGAAAGAGAAGACTTACATAACTTGTTTTGAAGAAAAGGTGTTTGGCCCTGGTTTAAGTACAGTTACATTAAACTGTGTGATTGGTTGCTAGCACTCATGTTAGAGAGAAAGTCCGTTTATGTCCGTTATGACATAAATAGATGCCTTGGCTTTTAGCTGAGTTCAGCAAAAAGAATTCTGAGAATTTGGGACAGAAGATGTGCATGAGCCCCGCCTCCTCAGTGTCCTCCCAGCTCCATTTTCAATAACTCTCTTAGCAGTGGTCATTTCATTTATTCTCTCTGTTGCACATTGACTTTTGAAAAAGGTACTCTTATTATCCTCATTTGACACAAGGGAGGGAAGTGAGGTTTTAAGAGGTTAAAAGACAATTAATGCTATGTACCTACTAAAGATGGAACCAAGGTCTGTGTCGCTCAGATGAGGATAGTGGGAGGAGGAAGTGTGGAAATGGGACCAAACATGTGTGGCAGAGAATCTGTGATGAATGATAGGCATGGGGTCCGAAAGAGACGGGTTGTTTTTGACATGTGGGTGGGAAGCAGGGACAAGGGGAGGGGCTCAGTAGCAAATCGGAGCAGAGTTAGAAATGCATGTAACTCCCTTTGGAGCTGGGCTGGTATCCTTGAGACTTCTAATTGAGGATATCACCTCTCTCTGTCTTGTAACGTCACTTCGCTTTGTGGCTAGTGCATTGTGTGACTTAGAACAAGGCCATGTGGACACCAGCTTAGAGGGCGTGTGACTTAGAAATGAAAATACTTCCCGACTCTGTCAGTTTATCTGTAAAATGAAGGGATTGGATTAGGTGATCTGTAAAATCCCTTCCAGAACCGACACCTTATAATTTATAGGAATTGTTAAAAATGGCAAAATAAATTCAAAACGTAAGATTTGAATGTAATAGCTTTCCTACTCTTTTTTCTTTCTTTCTTTTGAAATGATCTTTTTAAAAGGCATGTTTTCAACTTGTCTTTTCTAGAACTTTATTTTAGATGGGTATTGGGCTTCACATTTTTGTCTTAATTCTAGCACAATAATGCAAAACCTTTTTTTCCCCCCTAGGCCCTGCAGGAGCAGCTAAAGATGTGTAAGTAGTTAATATTATGATTTTCTAAACTCTTTTTGAGGAAGATGCTGTTTTTCATGATTGTGCCCTTTCGATAGATGTAGGTATGCCTGAAAAGATATGGGAATACATGCTATATTATGCAAAAATCAAGATTAGCATCTAGTTTATAACTAAACTGCTATTTGAAAAATATCATTGTGTTATTACTTATTCTGTTATTATTTATTCTGCCTTTCAGTTGCCCTAGCACTGTAACTCAGAACTTTTAAGAGAGGGAAATGTTTAATTGTGCTTCCTTCCCAACTTGTGCTGAGATTTTTTTCTAATTGAAATCAAGTAGGTATGGGGGAATTAATTAAGCACGTAGCTCCTGTGACTATGTGTTAGGGTGAGTCAGTGGGGAGAGGCTGGGGCAAGCATGTACCAAACACACATTGAATTGTTTTAAAGTTGATGATTGGATATTTGAGTGAATGTATATGCCCATTCAACCTAGTCAAACCACAGGACATTTAATCAAGGGGCAGGTATCCCCCAAGGAGATGTTTCTGGAGCTCAGGAGCCCTTCCAGTATTTCCATCATGCCCCTTCTCTGCATCTTTCCACACCTCATCTAGAACAGTAAGGACATTGCAGTAGTTCACTATTTAAGAGTGTTTGTGGTTACTCCGTGGAGAGTGGATGGACCCCTGCCCTACCCACCCACAGTCGGTTTGGATGTTAGGACTGATGGTCACACACACACACACACACACACACACACACACACCAAGGAGGGCACGAAGATTTCTTACTCACATAAAAGTGAAGGAAGGGGAGGCGGGAGTGGCTTTGGTTTTTATTGCAGTTGGGAGTGGGGCTGGTCGAGGGCTTCTGTGCATGGGAGAGGTTTGCATAGTTTTATCCTCCCCACCAGCACAAAGGAAGGCATTCCCCGGCTTTCTAATCAGCTTGCACTGATGTGAGGCAGAAGGGGGAGTGGTTGGACTTGAAAGCTGTCAGTGGTCAAACATCAAAAATAGAGTCAGATTTATTATTATTATTATTATAAAGAGGAATTAGAGAAGATGAGAATGGGATTGTAAGGTTTTTCAGGAGTTAAATATATATTTTCTATGGGACTTTAGGTACCCAAGAAGCAATATACATTGTTTCAAACTCCTGGTTGCACTTTTTGAGTTTATTACCAAAACATGTAGCAATAACCAGTTCAGCATCCTTACCCTGTTTCTTTCATTGCAGTATCTGGGTCTCTCCTTTCCATTTCTATACATTATTGCCAGATTCATTTCTTCAAGCACTCCCCTGCCCTTGTAGGACCTCTGCTCAAAAACTTGTAATTATTCTCCATTGCCCGCTGGACCGAGCCCAGAATCCTTTGGGAACAGGAAGGCCATTTATGTTTTTAGCTTTTCTCGGACGGACTCTGCATGAGGTGGAAGGAAGCACTGCAGTGGGAGTGAGCAAGGCCGAGGATGAGAAGTGAGCTGACATGCTGCACTGAGACCTCTCGCAGGGCCCAAACTGACCTCCCATGTTCTGCCTCAGTTTCTGCTGTTTCCTCTGCCTGGAATGGCCTTTTTCTCAATTCTGTTTGTAAAAAAATCTTAGCTATTCTTCAGGGCTTCTGTCTTGTTCTTTGCAAGAAGAATTTCTTGGATCTCTCAATTGGATAGAATGTCTTTTTCTTCTGAACTTTTCGAGCATTTTGGACCGTTCTTATGACACATCATATGGGGCTTATATTGTAGTTATTTATCCTCTTGTCCCTCTTGGGCAGTGAGGGAAGTGAAATGTCTTACTCATCTGAAGGTCTCCCATAGTTATAGTATCGTGTTTTGAACGTGGTGTTTAATGAACAGTTGCTGAGGAATCCCATCATTTCTATTCAAGGAGAGATTGATGTCTTGACTTCTTTCTTTTAGAGGCATGGACATTTCTAATAAAATTTCGTGATGCCATTGTCAACAAAATTAACTATTCCACGATGGGAGATGCCACTTAATTACTTTTTGAAATCCTGAATTCTCTGGATTTAAATTTTCTGTGACTATATATACCTCATTGTATGTCCTAGGAAGATATAATTTTATTTAATACTTGACCCTTTTAGAAATAAATGTAGTAAACAAAAAAAGTTAAAAGAATATTATAGTATTATTTTTCCTTGCACAAAAGTATATTCAAACATGTTCCTTTTTTAAGTAGAAGGTATAGATTTATAAATCTTGATTATGAGTGAACAAGGTGCTAAGAAATTAAGACAATTTAAACTTTTTATTATGAAGATCTAAAAATTTCTTTTCTAATCTAGAGAGACTGATCCCAAACCAAAAGAAGTGGCCAAAATCACATAATGGGTGCTAAGAAGTACAGAATTTCAAATAGGGCAGCCACCATATTATACAGGCAACATAAGTCTTTTGTGGGGAGTGGGAATTATGGTTATTTTTAGGAGAGAGAAATACTATAGTTACTCTCTTAATATAACAAAAAATCCATTCTCTAGGGAAGGTTTGTGATTTTTACTCTCTCTCTCCTCTTTCCTGTTTATTTGCCGATTTTCTACAGGCAAGAAGCCAGGATACAATAACAGATAAAATGACACTTCTGCCCTTAAGTAGGTTAGTGTCTACTGGGGACCAAAATACAGTGTGACAAGTGCCATTTATTGACATAGTCAGAATTTAATGCCGGTTTGGGTCTTGATGGATGAATAAGAGTTCGTGCAGAGAAGGGAAGAATGGCAGCCCAGAGCAGAGGAAAGAGCATGACAAGAGGCTCATGGGTGTAAGAGAACCTCAACTCTCCTGCAGGGAGCCTGTCGGTTTGTTCTGGAGTCCATGGCGTGTGCTCTGCAGAGATGAAGGATGAGGCCAAGGGGCTGGAGCTGGCTTGTGAAGGGCCTTTGGTGCCAGACCAGTAATTCCACTCGATATTGCACGCATTCAAGAACCATTAGGAATTTTAAGGTTGGGGGGGAGGCGACGATTATATTTGCGCTTTAGGGTGCTAAGTCCCAAAGCAGTGCAGCATGTGAGGTGGGGGAAGGGTGGAGGCACAGGGAGGGAAGGCCGTGAGGCCACCAGAGGGGCAGACCGCGGACAGTAGCAATGGGAGAGAGAAGAGCCGATGTGTTCAAAGTATGCTTGGAATATGATAAAGATTTGTTGAATGACAGAACGGGAAGGAGAGGAGAGGAAAATCTAAGGATCACGCTGCGATTTCAAATCTGAGCTGAGGGAAGGGATGGCCGATAATCCAAAGAGGTCAGCCGGGCTAATGGGGGAAGAAAAACCACTGGGCACCTGGGGGACTGTAGTTTCCATCGAGGGGTGTGAGTAGTAATTGGGTGAAAGTGGAAGTGGGCGAGGAGCAGGGAGGTGGTATGTGGCCTCTCTTCTTACAATGTTTGCCAGTAAGGGAGGGAAGGGTGTTAGCAGGTTAAAGATGGAGATGGGCAGAAGTGCTGAATCACTGTATTGTGCACCTGAAACTCATATTACACCGTATGCTAACTAACTGGAATTTACATAAAAACTTTTAAAAAAGTTAAAAAAAGAAGAGGAAGCATTTTAAAAAATATATTTCTGTTAGAAAAGGAATACCTAGAAAATTTGAAAAATATTTTTTGAAGAAAGAAAACATCGGCTCTTATCTACCACCAGAGACAGCCACCATTAACATTTGACACGCTTTTCTTCCGTTTCTTCATTTCTTCTGTTTCTGCACTGTTGGGTGCATGGATGATCTTGTGTATGGAAGTTTGTTTTGCTTTTTCTGTTTGTTTATTTATTTATTTATTTATTTATTTATTTATTTTATTAACATATAATGTATTATTTGTTTCAGGGGTAGAGGTCTGTGATTCATCAGTCTTACACACACACCTGTGGACTCCGGGGTAGGAATCAGTGGAGTGAGACGTGCTGGAGGTGGCTTGGGGAGGGGTCATCTTTGAGGAGGGGGATCTGTGATGGAAGTGAATCCCAGAACAGGTGGGAAGGCTCAACAACTTAGGAGGTTAACCTTAGAAACTTGAGATGAGGAGGGAAGTAGGGGTGAAGATTCACAGGCACACCCCCTGTTTTATTGCATCCCGTTTTATTGTGCTCTGCGGATAATGCATTTTTTAAAGATTGAAGTTCTGTGTCCGCCCTGCGTCAGGCAAGTCTGTTGGAGCCATTTTTCTTTCTTTTTTTTTTTTTTGTTTTATTTTATTTTTTTTATTTTTTATGTTGGAGCCATTTTTCCAACAGCGTTTGCTCACTTCCTGTCTGTGTCATATTTGGGTAATCTCACAATATTTCAGACTTTTTCATTGTTAGGTTTGTTATGGTGATCTGTGATCAGTGATCATGACTTGCTGAAAGTTCAGATGATTGTTTGCATTTTTTTAGCAATAATGTATTTTTTAATTAAGGTATATACATTGTTTTTGTAGACATAATGTTATTGCACACTTAATAAACTATAGTATAGTGTAGTTATAAAAACATAATTTTTATATGCACCGAGAAACCAAAAAATTCATGTGACTCGCTTTATTCCTTTTATGGCTGTGGTCTGGAACCTAGCCTGCATTATCTCTGAGGTATGCTTGTATAGAAATTGAATCACCACAACACAGACTCATGCATATCAGCAAGTGAGTCTTTCTTATTCTCTCTTCCTCTGTCTCTTCAAAATTAAATCACAGTTCTGTAACATGCAAAACAAAATAGACATGAATTCAGTGTGACGACATTTGGCTGCTTTCACAAACCTGGAAAAATCAACCATTTTATTTCAGTGAATTATCTTAGCTATTTGGCACAAATAGGTTGCATTGGGATATTTTTGGTTGGAAATGGCAGAAGTCCAGCTTAAACTGGCCTAAACAAACAAACAAAAAGGAATTTATTGGCATGTGTAATGGAAAAGCTCCAGGGGTTTGGCCCCAGGCACAGCTGGATCCAGGTGATCAAATGACAGGAAGAAACTCATTTCTGCTTTCTTGTTTTGGGCTCCATTTTTAG